AAGAACCACTGAGCTAGAAAATATATTTATCATTTATAAACTTATCCTTTAGGAATAAATCTGCTCCTCCAGTGAAACAGAGATTCTCGCAATCTGGCTTTTTTTTTTTTTTTTTTTTAAAAAGCAATGTATTTATTTATTTATTTTTTAATTATTATTTTCCTGAAAACATAAACATGAAAGGCTTAACCTGGCAGTGGGGCTAGTAAAGCATGGCGGCCGCCAGGCCTATAACACACTGGGGAAAACCCTGCATATTTATATTCATTCATAATACAGACCAATGAATATTTATATCTTTATTTTGTTGCATGTAAACTATTAAAAACCCAATGCTCTAGTTGTGCTACAGCTGAAATTACAAAATGTGCTGTGCTGAAGCAAGCTATACCGTCCCCAGTATGTTCATTATTCAATATATTGCTAACTCATGCTTCTTTTTCTCCATTCTCTTTTCCCTTCTTTCTTTCTCCCACCCATGTTGGCTTCCTCCATTTTCTCTGCTCTGTATCCATCTTCAGAGGCTACGGTCAAAGATAATATCTATAGAAAACCCCCCATCTACAAACAGCATGGTACAGTCAACTTCGCCTTTAACACTTAATTCTCTGGTCTGGTCTCTGCACGATGTGTTGCATGTTGGTCATCTTGTTTCCCCCCCCCCAGTTCTGTTCCTCTGGTTTCTTCGGCTTGCAATTTTGGTAGTTTATGGATCTCCCTGCTCTGTATTCCATGCATTGTATTCGAAGAAATAGGAAAACGTAAACCGGTGATTAAAAAAAAGTTAAACCAAAGAATACTGACAATACCTACTGCATTTGCTTCTAACAATTTAGTCAATATGAAGTCAAGCCAATCTCCACTAGTCACAGTTGACAATTAGCTGTGTACATCTCCATGTGTGAAATTATCTCACACACAGAATAAAATATGGCAAGCCTTTATTGTAATTTTGATGGTTACAGCTTTGAGATAATGAAAATCCATAAATCATTATCTTGGAATGAAACATGAAACAGAACAACATTTAAGTGTTTTGCAGAAAACCTGAGACTGGGGTGAATGTTTAACAACTCTGAACATACAACTGGATCCACAGTGGGATGGTTCACATCAAAGTGCATGTTTTAGAATGGTCTAGTCAAGGTCCAGAGTTAAATCTGACTGAAAAACTATTACAAGATTTATGAACTGGTGTTCATAGGTGTTCTTCATCCTCATCTAATCCGACTCAGTTTAAGCTGTTTATTGAAAAATATTGCTTAAAATATCTTACATGAAATCCTAACATAATACTGTGGAGTTTGTAGGTAGAATGACACAAAATGTGAGTAAACATTCAAGATGTATGGATATTTTTTGCACAATAGTTAATTCAGTGCCCCATTTGATGTCTTGTATTAAGGTTTCAAAGTGTGTGTTTATAGTATTCAGATTAAAATGTTTGCATTCTGCCTCAATAAAAGGCTAATGATTTTTGGAAGCATCTGCTTCAACTAAAGTTATTTTATAAATTGCTAAAAAGCAATTTCAACAATTATATATGCCTTCTCAGTAGGAACATATGAAAGGATATATTTAAGATTCAGGAAGTAAATCTTATCTTCATTAACTTCAGTATGTAGAGATACAGTGGTGAAGAAAAGCTTTGGACTGCAGCTGATTTAGCAGGAGGCTCCGTTTTTCACCTCAGTCATGCATGCTGGCATTCGTCTCAGCAGCTCATCTGTTGGGTTCGTGGTGATGCAGTGTGTGTACACTCTGAATAACTTTGGATGTTGACATTGGTGTTGTGTTGTCTCACTCATGTTCACCGTGTCTTCAGGGTTGTTTTTGTCCCATAAACATACATATGTAATTTTCATTAGACTTGTGAAGTTTTCGTAAATGTAGTAGCCATATTCCATAATCTTCCTAAGACTGTTAACCTGTTTGCTTTTTTATTTAGCAAATTAGTAAATGGGCTGAATTTGTTTTTTATTTTCCATAGCTTTCGTGCTTTCTAGAAAACTTCCCTGTTCTTTAGAAACAGGGAAGTTTGTAAGAAAGTTTGTAAGATGGTGCACTTTCCTCTATTTTTTGCTGAAGAATAATTGGTGGACCAATAGAGAGAGTTTATCATATAAAAACAGCTTGGGTGACATCATACCATTAGATATTGTAAGGAATGATTCTCTGGCATATGGGCCAGTGGTCGTGTAATAAAAGACAGATCAAAGACAACTATCTATTGCATACATGTAATGTGGTTGAAGCATTATTCATCATCATAATAGGAATACAATCAAAGTTCCCAAGTAACTGTTGCCCTGCTTTGATGTATGCCTACGTAAACACCAATAGTTTTCTTTGCGGTTCTTCAAATCCAGTGTTAGTCTATAATAGGAGTGGATCACATTGTATATGACCCTCACTTTTTTAGACTGTACATGTAGCAAAGCTAAATCTGCAGCTGTAGATGTTATGCTCCAGGTTTGACTTGGACTCACCCTGGAGGACAGGTTAACTCACAGTAAGGTGATCCAGCACACTGATTGTGACATGCTGTAACATTTGACTGTTTTACAGCTTCTAGAACATCCTGGCAGGAGGGTGATGATAACAAGGTGGGTCTGTGTGGACACTTATTTTGAATGTGCAAATCTGTTCTCAAGCTCAAAAAACTAATTATCTAACTATCTTGCCATCCTCCATCACTCATTCTGTCCTCTTTCTGTTTTCTCCATCCTTTGTTTTCCTTCTATAGAGAACAAGTTGGATAATCTTGAAAAGTGAGACTGATGGTGAGATAGCTCCTGAAGACCTGAACCCCTGTAAATCCACATGCAGTCTCCCCATGGACACATCTCAGCCAAGTGAGAAACTGTTTACAACTCCAGCTTGATGCTGAATCATTCAAAAGTGCAAAAAAAAAAAATGAAATAAATAAAATAAAATAAAAAATTTGACACCTCTGTAGATTTCCCCTACAATAAATCTGCATCATTACCCGGCTATGGAAGGAATGGCATCTATAAGGTGAGCAACCAGTTTTTGATTAAACAGCTTATTATAAATACCCAAGTGATGGATAAAATCAGTTTAAACTGTGGCACAACAGGTTTTGTTTTTGTTGCTGATATGAAATCCCTGAAAGATTTAAATAATCTAATATTCATGTGCTACACTGACTCATAAATAGAATAATAAACAGGCTGAGTAGAAATCATTGTTTCCAGAATGGTTCAAACTTGCATGTGTTGGCAGAAATGCAAATATATAAAAAATATATTGGCTACGTATTATCCTGTAGTGTGGATTTTACCTTTACCCAGTCTCAATCCGAAGAAAAACTCAAAAAAACTAATTTTTAACTTGGAGCTCTATGAAGGGATTCTTGTGGCTTCAGTCTTCATTTATACTACTGGGAGTGGCATAACTACAAGATTTGTAGTTATTCCCTTGTATTTATAGCACATTGCCAGAGTGAGAAGGCTCTATCTAGCCTACACTTACATCACAGCCACAAACTTCAATGTATTTTATTGGTACTCAAGTGACAGATCAAGGTTTATTGTGAGGTGGCTCCAACTTGGCTCTCAGTCCGTGGAAAAGGAAACAGATTATTTTATGGAATCAGTTAAGAACCATTTGTGGTTAAGAACTGGAAGCTCTATGGTGGAAAAGACCTAAGTTAATGATGGGAGTTTGTGTTTAATGTGTATATTCCTACAGGCTGCTGATATGGTGGAGGATGATGTGGACCCTGATTCCCACAGTTGGGGAGGCATGAGAGGTGAGACTAAATATCAACTTGAGAATATTAGTTTCAGTTCCTCTTATGGAGCATAAATCTGCTTCACTTACTTTAATACAAACTGTTTAGATTTATGCCTGCAGGTCGGCCTTACAGAGCACCACAGACACAGTTTCATCCCTAAGGCTGTTTTTCTGATGGACACAATGAACAACAATAACCAGAGTAGTCAGCTACTCCACTGTGAAACAACCTTATTTGCACTGTTACAACTGGTCTTTGGGAAAAAAAAATATCAGGTGGTCATACACACACATCAATGGTGGGTACTGCTAACTAAAAATGTAGTTGCACTAATCATTAGGCACTCATCATAAACATTAGTTATGCTAAAGCTAAAGCGCTACTCGAACATGGTACCTATTTAGTGGAAGCTAGAGCTAATATTAAAGCGCTAAATTCAACCATGTTGATATCCCTCAGAGTGGATCACATTGTATATGACCCTCAACAGGGTCAAATGTGTTATTCCACACCTACTTCTACAGTTTGTGATTCAGGAAGTGACTGTTTGGATCAGGCATTTTATTCATGACTTTAGCTTTATAGCTATTGAGTATCACTAACACTAATTCTTTTGCAGATTTTGCCTAGTTGACCACAGTAGAGCTTTGGTCTGAAAGCACATAGGATACACTGTTTACTGTTTAGCGATGCATTCTGGGTAAAGAATATATGTCACTTGCTGCACTGCATCACAGGTGGAGAATGTGAGGAGAGGCAATGGAACTGCTGCATAAGCGGTCTTCACCCACTTAGCAGTCAATAACCAAAACTTCAACACATGATGTTGAACTTTGGGCACCATTCTGGAAAGAAAATTACATAATTGCAAACCTACCACTGATTTACAGTGGATTCTACATATCTTTCTGAGTGGCTGCTCAAATTCTTAGTCATCTTTATTTTGGTATACCTCAAGGTTTTGGAGCCCTTGTTATTCCTAGTTAACGTAAATATGCAACATACTTGCTGGCACAATAGAGCAGCTACTCAGTCAAAAGGACAACTGATAAACCTGCAACCAGTTAAACAACATTTAACAGTAAAGTTCTCTAGACCCTAAATTATACGAGTCAAATAAATCTCACAAAACTTATATCAAATAATGTCTAGTAAAAGAGGGAAACATTCATTCAAAGTCAAATGGAGGTTCCATCAAAATAATTATAAGTTACAAAATCCAAACTTCCTGAGAGCACGGCTAGCTGATTAATGCTGGTTCTGACATAGTTGAGTAATTCTGCTGAACACAGGGAGGAGGCAGAGGAGATTGATTATGAGGCCCGAGCAGCTAAGCGCTGCGAAGGCCTATTGAAATTGTGCTGTAAATTATTATTATGCTTCCGTAAAATAAATTGGCTTTTTGGAAGCTTTATCATATTCAGAAACTCACCAAACTTGGCGGACGCATCGAGACTGTGAACAGTTTACGTATTTTAAGGTCAACGCAAACATCGCAAAAGAAACAGCTCAAAGGCGCCACCTAGCAACTTTCAAAAGACCCTTTCCTATTACCTTACTTTATCGCAGAGACATGGAATTTGGTACACTTGTAGAGATCCCCAAGACGCTCAGAATTTACAATTAATGTCATAGTGCAAGCATGACAGGAAGTTGGCCATTTTGGATTGAAGTTCCGATTTTGACCCCATTTTGGCCGTTTACAGCCTTTGCATTTGATTGAACTCCTCCTAGGGATTTCGGTCAATCAGCTTCAAACTCGGTGAGATCGTTCATAAGGCTTGGCCGATTAAAAGTTATCAAAGGTTTGCATTTTCTTGCCTGCTAAAGGGGGGTTTCCTGGGGTCAAAGTTCACCTATTCACCATGAAACACCAAACTGTTATAACTCCTACACAAAAACTCACAGAGGCACCAAACTTTCAGTGATTGATCATCATCGGGTCCCCTACAATACCCAATGGTCAAATGATGACATCACTTAGGCCACGCCCCCTGAGAACAGGAAGTGTCATGTTTTACTGTAAATGGTCGCTATCTGACCCCTTTGACCTAATCAACATGAAACTGTCCACAGACAGAAAACATGTTGGTGTGTCATGGATTCCAACCCTGTTTGGTTTTGATGGAGCAGGTGGGCGTGGCGGCGTGGCGAAGTGACCTGTAACGCCGTCACCATACGTTTGGCTCTAGATTCCACAATTTTGAGCCTAGCTGCACCAAACTTGAAATGACTGATCCTGGTGGGATGCCTGACGATCCTATGTCGTCATAGTCTGACGTCATCTAAGCCCCGCCCCCTCAGAACAGGAAGTGCTTTTTTTTCCATGGAAAGCTGCCTTTCTGGCTCTCTCAACCTAATCAAGATGATTCTGTGTTGGATGACAGACTAACAGTTGGTCTCACTTGCTTTAAAGCGCCAAGAGTTTTCAGTAGTGGGCGTGGCCATGGCAGTGCGGCGAAGCAGAGGGAACGCCGCCGCCATACGTTTGGCTCTAGATTCAACATCGTTCAGCCCAGCTGCACCAAACTCACTAGGATGCATCCTTATTTATCCCCGAACAGGAATCCATAACAGTTGATGGGCGTGGCCTAATTTCTCTACAGCGCCCCCTAGAATTTTTTAAATGATCAGCCCCAAGCCATGCTTTAACCTAGAATTATGAAACTTGGTACACATGTATATGATGT